ACTGTATCCTCCTTGGTCCACTGTTCTGACTGGGTACCTGTACACATACAAGTCAATGCACACGACCAAGGGCCTGGGCGAGGTACCTGGACCTACAGTTGACTTCGACCTTTGAATTTCTTGTTGTGCGGGGTCACACAGCACCCGCAGCGGCCTGAGGTCGAGCAGCGCGTGGTCGCACTGCTCGTTGGGCCTGGGCTTGGGTTACAACGCCCAGGTCGCTGCTGAACGTGGTTTACTGCATTCCTGCCGGCCCGAATTCGAGTTCCACCGCATAAATACTTAAGACTTCAGTCCGCGTTCATAGCTAGCAACAATATCAGGAGCAGTATCCATCAGTTCCCGTCTGCTAAACCAACGGTCTTCAGAGGCATCTTGGAACTGGAATCTCACTTTATACTGCTTCTGAGGTCTGCCTCTTCCACCAGTAGAAAAGAATCCATGGTCAGTAATTTTCTCAACCACATAGCTGCCATTCATAGACGGAGGTATAGCAGATGGTCGGTGAGGAAATTTTGTTCCTTCTACATATGGAAGCAGTTTAGACGCGTGAAAGACGGGGTATGTCCGAAGATGAGGGGGAATGTCAATCCGGTATGATGGTCCATCGGCATCCCCTATCACCTTGAGAACTTCCCAAGGTCCTAGATAGACAGGCATCAGTTTCTGAGAAACTTCTTCTAGAGTGAACTCTTTGGACTTAACCCAGACCAAGTCACCAACTTGAAAAGTAGACGGGCGTCGGTGTTTGTTAGCTTGTTCAATCATGCGCTCTTGGGTTTTCCTCAGATTCTCTTTCACCTTTTTTATGTCTTCTTGAAACATAATGGCATATTCCTTTGTCCCTGGTGGAAGTCTAAGAAACTGGTCCCTGGTTAAAACGTCAATGGGACGCTTAGGCTTCCAGCCCTTGTGAAGTGTGTTAGGTGTGCGTCCCGTCGCGGTATGCACACTATTGTTATATGCACCGGCAATCTTGGATAAGTTCTCATCCCAGTCTATTTGGTCAGGACGGACATACATTCTCAGAAGTTGTTGGACCATACGGTTCATTTGCTCAGACTGGCCATTCGTTTCATGGTGTCTACCTGACGACATGGTGAGCCGTGTACCGTAGGCCTCCATCAGCTTCTGCCAAGGCATGCTTGTGAACCTGACATCGCGGTCAGATACGATAGACATGGGAAACCCATACTCAGTTACCCATCACATCTGAAATTTAGCAATCACAAGCTCCGTCTTGGCCTCTGCAGGCAAGGGTATGAACATGGCATATTTAGAGAAACGGTCAACCACAACCATAACTTGACTATTGYCATTTCGGGACTTKGTGAGTTTCATGAAGTCTATGGACACAGACTCACCTGGCTCACTCGGAATAGGTAGTGGTCGGAGTAAACCCAARGGTTTCTCATGAGAYGGTTTGTTTCTCTGACATACTTGGCATGTACGAACATATGTTAGCACATCCTCTTTCAAACCCTTCCATTCATAGTGCTCACGCACCTCAGCATATGTCTTATTGAAACCAAAGTGTCCCTCTGTATCATGACATTCCCCAATCAATAGACTTTTAAGTTCTTCCTTGTGAGGAATGCACAGTCTCTGTTCAGTCTGGTCCAACAAGAAGAGTAAGCCATCAGACAATCGATAGTGAGGAAGTTGGGATGGATCCTTGGCTAGGATATCCATGATTGGTTTCCAGACAGGGTCGGTGGCATATCCAGCGCGAATCTGATCTTTCACATCATTCCCAACATCCAGGTAAGAGACTATAGCCCCAAAGAAATCACTCCTCCTAGATAGTGCGTCTGCTACAACATTAGACTTACCTTAGATAGTTTTGAGTTCGAAATCGAAGGTATCGATGAAAGCAGACCAACGCACCAACTTGTCAGACAATCAAGGCTGTGTCTTGATCCACTTGAGGGTCGCGTGGTCCGAGTACACAGTAAAATGTTTGTCAAGGAGATAGTGTTTCCATGTCTCTAGGGCGCAGACTAATGCATACAACTCCCTTTCGTAGGTGGAGTTGGCGACCTTTTCACACGGCAGACGTTTAGACATGAACTCAATAGGGCGGTAGCCCTTGCCGTCGTCTTGTTGTAAGACAACGCCAACACCGTACTGACTTGCGTCAGTTGTGACGATGAAAGGAAGAGACGTGTCTGCAATCTTAAGAACAGGATAGTGGGTCAAAGCGTGTTTCAGCTTTCGAAAAAATGACTCACAATCCTTGTCCCACAACCAGATAGTACCTTTCTTGAGCAATCTTCTCATTGGAGCAGCGATAACTGAGAAGTTCCTAACGAACTTCCTATAGTAACTTGCTAATCCAAGGAAAGATCGCAGGTCTGTGAGAATCTTCGGCTGTGGCCAATCTCTGATCGCCGAGATCTTCTTTTCCTCGGGCCTCAATCCCTCCTCGTTCACGATATGTCCCGAGTACAAGACCTCAGATTTAGCGAACTCGGATTTCTTTGGGTTGAGTTTGAAGTTACCTTCGCGTAACTTCCCGAGTACTAGACGAAGGTGTCGATGATGATCTTCTAGTGTCTTACTATACACTAGAATGTCATCCAAGTAGACGATTACAAAGTCGTCGAGCCATTGCCTAAACAACTCGTTCATTGACCTTTGGAAGGTCGCAGGTGCGTTCGTTAGACCAAATGGCATCACGATGAACTCGTAATGACCATATCTCGTACGGAACGCGGTCTTATGCTGATCGGCGGGATCCACCTCGATCTGGTGGTACCCAGACTTAAGGTCGATCTTGCTAAAGACTCGACAACCCTGCAACTRATCCAAGAGATCGTCGATCCTTGGCAAAGGTTCGRYGTTTTTGACGGTGACGRCATTCAGCCCTCGGTAGTCGATGCAAAGGCGCAACTCACCTTCCTTTTTGGGCACAAACAAGACAGGTGCACCATAAGGAGAGGAGCTAGGGCGAATCCATCCTTTCTTCGTCAACTCAGACAGTTGTTTCTTAAGTTCCTCAAGTTCCCTTGGAGACATGCGATAGATAGGGCCCTTGGGAACCTTGCTACCGGGCACAATCTCGATCGTGTACTTGATAGCACGCGAAGTGACCCCGGTTGGTTCAGACAGAACATCGGCAAACTCTGTTAGGAGTGCATCTATGCCAGGAGGATGGGTAGTTGAAGACTCACCTACTTTCTTAACTAACAACATTACTACCTCATCCTCTAACTTCTTCTTTGCAACCACTGATCGGAATGCAGGGTAGCTCATGCAACAGAAAGACAAAACAGAGTAAGACCCGGACCGATGATACAACTTAATCGGTTGCAACTCAAACGATTCATCCTTGATTCTTACTTCTTTCTTTTTGAAATCAATCTTGGGATCAGCTTCCTCGTGCCAATCCATTCCCAAGATGATATCAAACATATTCTTCTCGATCAGGAAGGGAAGCTCATGGCAAATCTTCTTCTCATCCTTGGTACTGAACTGACAACGAACACGATCGACGTACTGCGTTACCGTCATCGTGCTTTTGTCAGCCAACATAGACGTGATCGGTTTAGATAAAGTCTGGATCTTCATGCCGAGATGCAACTTGCGGATTGCACGTTCAGACATGCAAGATCGTGTGGACCCAGGGTCCAACATCGCACCCACGTGTGTGCGATTAACTATCAAGTCAGCAATCAACAATTCACCCTTAGACTTGGCTTTCTTCGCCYACGAACTGCGTAACGCGACTAGCTCGCTACCCARCTCGTCAAGGGAGTCRTCCAGAGACATGCATAAGACAGGAGTAGGGTGGTCTGAACGACGGGCGGAAGGGTTTCCATCCTCTGCCACGGGAGTCGGAGTGTGGAAAGGGATCGTAGGCGCCTCGCATGTGATCGCACCCTCCGACTCTGTAGGAACAGATGTTATTCCTACTGGTTGCTCCCTTTTGAGTTTCTAATCAACGGACAAAAGGCAATGACATGCACCGCAGTGCCACACTTGAGGCACTGCGCATTATCCATTCTATCTTGCCACACCTCCCGGGTTAGTCCCATCTTCAGCCACGGTCTGCCGGCCGCAATCCCAGGATGGTATGGGAGGAGCGTTGTCTTCCCTTCGGTCGAGTGTTCGATGACGGTCCTCCCTTGTTGACCTTCGCAGCGGTGACCTCCCCCTTTCCGTGGTCACTCCTGCTGTCACCACCACCCTCGTTCTCCAATGGCCATTTTTCCATTGTATCGTCGTCGAATACGACGAGGGTGAGGTCTTGGCGCTTTTGACGCCATAAGATCCGCTTGCCGTAGCCTCCCCGACTGCTTCCTCCTCCATTCTTTACGGCAGCAGCATAGGAACCTTTGACTTGCAAAGTCATTTGTTCCCGCTGCAACACCAGGTCGCGGAACTGACGGTAACTATACTTACCGGACTTGGCCTCGGCGACCAAGTGCCCTCGGATCGGTTCGGGCAATGCACGCGAGTAAATGTAGAGGACCTGAGAGTCCTGCAGGTTAAGACCCGGAACCTGCAACAGTCGGTCAACCTCATGAGACAATGACTCAACTGAAGACCAGGACTTTTGTCCTATCGTGGTGAGTTGATCGAAGGCCTTATCGACCGTAGTCTTGTCCAAGAAACGGTCCTTGACTTTTGCAAGGAACTGCTTCAAGGTCATAGTCTTCGCCCACTCACCTATATCGTCAAACCCCGCGGCATTTGCTTCCGCCAGAACCCATTGCTTCACCTCACCCCCCATACAAGAAGTGGTGAACGCAACTTGCGACTCTTCTTCTACCGGTGTGGTCCCAACATATGTCTGGATCTCTGCGATCCAGAGTGGAAGGCTTTCTTCTTTCTTATTAGAAAAAGTAAAAGGCAATTTCATCTTCACCTTTTCCTTTTTCTTTGGCTTAGTCGGATCTGCAAGTTTGGCATTGTCCTTGGGAGAGGGAGTGGGACCGAAGGGACCACCATTCCCATTGCCATTCCCGTTCCCATTCCCATCTCCATTGCCATTCCCATCAGGTTTCTTCTCGGTTTCTTTTACCGTTTCCTTCTTCGTTGTGTCGCCGTTTTTCATTCCACCAAGAAGCAACTTCTCGGGCTTGACGTTCGCTTTTCTTTCTTTATCTTCTTTCTCTTCATCATTTTCAAGCACAGGGGCTTTTCCCTTGACAATGCTAGTAATGACATGAAGGCCAACAGCAAGTTCATCCATTCTGGATTGCTGTTGGTCCAATTTTTCTTCAAGAAAAGCCAAATACGTCAATATTTGTCCGAGCGTCTGAGCAACATCTTTTTCATCTAAGGAAACGTACTGCTGTACTCTACCCATTCTCTGCTGTAGTCTAGTTTCCTGTTCTTTCTTTTGCAACAGTTCTTCTCGCTTTTTCTCTTCTTTTGCGAGTGTCTCTTTCAACTGTTGGATGTTCTCTTCAATGCTTTCCACTTTCACTTCTGGCGCACCATCCTTTCGCTGAGCTATTTCTTCCAACTGCTGGATGGTAAATTGGTCCAGTATCTGACAACACTGGCCAATAACCTTCTGGATTTCAGTCGCTGCTGCTATCATCTCCACACCCATGATAGCTTTGGCCAAACGATCAGATATCGCATCAAGGTCAAATTTACCCCGGATGTGTTCTCTTGCAGCAGGGACAACAAACTCCATATCCACCAGCAGTTGGGAGAGGAGCTCTCCCAGTTCACTTCTTCGTGCCTCGATCTGGGCACGTGTACGCGGCTCAATCGAGGAGCTACTTGCTCCCACCGCATAAGGCACTTGCCCAGGTCCAAACAGACGAGGCACCCACCGGGTCAGAATAGACTGACGCATGTGCTCAACAATCGGTGCCATGATCAACATCAACAGGAAACCTAGCAGGCCAATCCTTTCTCAAATAAAAATGAAACAGACAATATTATCTAATGGTTGGACAACCACTCGATCGTCGGTACAGCAGAGGATTCACAAGAAAATAAATAAATAAAAATAATTAATTATTCTCTTGATTGATGTCTTTTCTATAAGCTGTTTTAATTTTTTTTTCTCTCCTATTCGTGTGATGACTCCTCTTCCAGGTAATCGAGCAGGCCAAGATCGTTAGCATTCACAGGTACGTGTGCACGCACAGCCAGACATCAGGTAAGTACTGACAACACAAACAATCAATGTCAGTCTTCCCCACAATGCCACGTCAGCATGCACTCTAATCACCCCGACAACAATCAAGCACCACAAGCCAAAGTCTGCCACTCGTGCCGCTCCCAGCGTCGGAATGCATCACTCATTTCCCAAGGCACGTCGTGCCTGCTTCGGCCAAACCCCCCGGTATGCCAACTCAGCTTTCGCCAAGTCAGCACTTCGAACCAATCAAAGATCGTGGGGGTGGCTTCAACAATGAATGCTGGCCGCTCTTTCTCTTGTTACCCGGATCCGTTAGTGAAGGTGAACTCCCACAATGCTGCGCTTCACAAATCTGCTCGCCGCATCCCAAGTCCAATCAAAGCCTGCCACGTCACCGCTTGATCTCGCCAATGCCAGCGAGTACTCAAATAGCCAATCAATTGGCTCCACTCGTCTCTGGCTGGCGAAATAACAATGCGGCAACTCTGTTTCGTCGGCGAGATATCATCAACACATGACAAGAAGTTCCCACTCAATATTTCACGTGGACGTGGAAGTGCCACGTCAGCATCAGAATCCAATGGCAGTCAATATACTGCCCGTCATCACCATATCCTTCGCGCGCGTCGTCGGGCTCGATAGAGAGCATCCCGATACTCACTTACCTGCGCGCGCGAACGTGGAGAGAAAATGGCGCTCGTTATCAATCGCGTCGGAGAGACGCGAGCGCCGTAGTAGACAATGTCGGAAGTAGAGCTCCGATACCAAATTGCAATGTGCCCAGTCGTGATAATCAGTCGTCACTCGCAAAGACAAAGTAGACAAATGCTGCTGATAAATCCTAATAATAATGATCCCAAAATAAGAGAGAATACATACACAGACGAGAGAGGGAGGAGGGAGAATAGACGTTGAGAGGGTGGAAGAGTCTCCTCCCTACAGCCCACTTCCTCTTCGGGCACTTCCTCCTC